CGAAGAATGGAGCTGCGTTGGAGTGTTTGATAGTATTTTGGGTGTCATCATATCGCTACATCATACAATTTGCAGAAAGAGAAAGCTGAAAAGGTTTTGAGGTTAATGTGTTACAAATAAATCAAGCACAAAGCTTGAGATATTATTTTAACCTGGTGAAATGTAAATGTCCCAGCGCACAAAACTATATTAGTTTCTTTTTTAAATCCATCTGGACCATAGAACGGGACTCTCAAAGCCTTGACATCCGGGTATCCGGGAGATAAGTCAGTAAATTCGAGTAAAAACACAGGCTTCGCTTATCCCGTGCGAATGCACCACACAAAATTCAGATGTGGGGGGGTAATTTCAAAATCACACATGGTCCCCAGATAATACTAATCCCGTGCAAATAGGGCTATAGATGGAGAACAGAGGAAGATTAAAGGAGAACTGAGGAGTTATAAGCATGAATCAAACAAAGGGAACTAATGAGATGATTAACAGACAACAGGTGAACAGAATGACATAATCAGGCAAGTCATGGAAAACTAGGTCACAACAGAGAGAACAGAAAACAAGGCATACATGTAACAATACTTTTACACAAATAAATGCTCTCTCTTTTATAAAAGTGAAAGACACTTTTTTTTACCAAATAGACCTACAAGGACATTCATCTACTGGAAGAACGGGTATTTAAAACATGACAAGCTTACACTTTAAAATTTGTGGGGGAAAAATGACAGATAGAGATGCTTCATGTTCATGTATAACACTGATATTAGTATATTGATATGTGTACATAAGCATATTTTTCAAGAATACTAGTAAGAAAACTTGCAGGAAAAACAGCAGATTGACATTACATGGATACATGAACAGAAAACAAGGCATACATGTAACAATACTTTTACACAAATAAATGCTCTCTCTTTTATAAAAGTGAAAGACACTTTTTTTTACCAAATAGACCTACAAGGACATTCATCTACTGGAAGAACAGGTATTTAAAACATGACAAGCTTACACTTTAAAATTTGTGGGGGGAAAATGACAGACAGAGATGCTTCATGTTCATGTATAACACTGATATTAGTATATTGATATGTGTACATAAGCATATTTTTCAAGAATACTAGTAAGAAAACTTGCAGGAAAAATTGACATTGACAGATTGACATTACATGGATACATTTTCGCTTTTTCTATTTCACATTTATAAATACAATTTGCAATAAAATAAAAACAGAATCCATTTTTACTGATGTGTAATCAAATGATTTTGCTTATCTTAATGAATTATTTCATGTTATTTAGTTGTGTGCCTAAGCATAAATAACCACATAAAACTAAGCAACAACATCTTTGCACATGTTAAAATGTCATTTTGAAGAACCATTTTGGGTTCCTTAAAGAAGCAAACAGTTCTTGAGCAGTGAACAGTTCTTAAAAGAACCATTATTTTAGATGTGCAATGGAAAAGGTCTATATATGTTAAAGGTTCTTCATGCTGGTAGATAGCAATAAAGAACCTTTAATTTCAAGAGTGTATGACAAAATAGCGCTGAAAATGATGAGCCTGGCTATGCTACTAGACACGTGTGGATGTCACCTGTAGAAGAGCCGTTGTTCAAGATCAACCAAAAGAGGGCAGTATGTTCATTTGAATGCATTACTCATTTAAAGGTTTTAGGATTATGTTGCACAAGGTCAAACCTACCTCTAAGCACAGTGTTATATGTGTTACAGTTTAAAAATGTTGATGAACAAGAAAATTCCCTTCAAAAAGGGATTTGTCGGAAAACACAACAACTTTTAGATCTGCACCACCAGATCTAAAATGAACAAACATTAACAAACATTAACTA